CGCTCTCACTTGTCTTTCTTTCTTTTCTCTCTGTCTTTCTTTTTCCTCTCTCACTCCTCTCTCCCTTTCTTCTCTTTCTTTTTTTTTTTTTTTTACAAACATCGGTTTTAAATTTCTCACGCTTCGTAACCTTTTCAACATCTTAATAACACGCAAGATAATAATAATAATAATAATAAAGCAAAATACGTTTTCAAATTTTCGATAATAATTTTTAATTTTTGACGTCGCCCCGTGTCGACGACGACTACGACCACGATGATGATGATAATGATAATTAAAATAAAATACGACATTAAAAAAAAAAAAAAAAATTCATAGATATATTTTATTTAAACAAAAAAAAAAAGAAAAGAAAAGATGGAAAACTTTTAAAAGATGATAATAACGATTAGTATTAGGGCGGATACAACTAAATTTAATTATAATTAATGCTAATTTTTTTTTTTTAGTCGAACCTGCGCCTGTGGGAAAATTTTTTTTCTTTTTTTATGCGTAAATATAACGTACCTGAAAATTCATATATCGCATCACACGAAATAATTACTTCGTTAAAATAAATAATTTCCCCCCCCTCCCCCCCTTCCCTCCCTCCCGTCCGACATTTTGTTTTTTTAAACAACCAAAGACGACGCAACTGGAAACAAACTCGATTTTTTTTTTGATGTATGGGTCACATTTAAAATCAACATGGATCCGTATAATAATAATAATAATAATAATAATGATAATAATAATAATAATAAAAATCCAGTTTAAGTTAATTTTTTTGGAATGTCTCATACGTGGACCTAACCGCGCACTCGCGCACACTCACCAAATACTCCAGTCCCAAAAAAAAACTCATTATTTAAATCTCATATTTCTCTCTCTCTCTCTCTCTCTCTCTCTCGCTCTCTCTTTTTTTTGGTTGTCGTTGTTGTTGTTGTTATCATTATCATCATCATCATCGTAGTGAAACGCCCGTATTATCCAAATGTTCCATCGCTTCTTGTTGTTTGTTTGTTAAAAAAAAAAAACGACAAATCGTTTAACGTCTTTTTATTCTTCTCCCGGATATTTTTTTTTCTCTTTTTTACTTAAACCGGAAGTGACGTAATAGAGAGAGAGAGAGAGACGAATTCTTTTCTTAAAAACAATTTTCGTCTCTCTGCATTAATAATAATACGACAACGACAAACGGCGACAACAAAAATTTCTTTTATTTTTATTTTGTTTGTTGTCCATTTAAATCAATGAACGACGACGACGACGACGACGACGATTTGTCCATAATAATAATAATAATAATAATAATGAAACGACTTGAAAAATTTTTCTTCTTTTCTTTTCTTTTCTTCTCTTCTCTTATTTAAAAGGAATAAATTTTTAAATAATTTTTTTTTAAATGAGGTTTCTCATTAATATCCATTCATTTTTATTTAAAAAAAAAAAAAAAGGGAAGCCAACAAAACAAAAAAAAAAAAAAAAAAAATTTAAACACCTTCACACCGAACTCACGTTACAACACGATACTTTTTTTATTTTTATCATTATTATTATTATTTAACGTCACTTTTTTTCTTTAACGTTTTGCAAACGCATTAACGCACACGCACGCGCATAAAAACGACAGCATAATAATAATAATAATAATAATAATAATAATAATGAAATGATTGAAGTTTCCTACGTCTCATTTACATCCGCCGCACGCCTTTTTCTCTCTCTCTCTCTCTCTTTAACATTTCATATTTTAATCATCGTTAAAGTTCTAGAAGAAAACAATCGATGATTTCCTTTTATATATCAATCAATTATTATTATTATTATTAAATTCATCCCACACGTTTTTGTGTTAACGCGAGGAATCCCCCGATGGTGTCGGTGGTGGTGAGGGTGGTAGTGGTGCTGATACCTAAGTAAGTACCTAAGTAATCCTCACCTCAGGCTGTCATTTTTGCTATTATTTTAATTGTTATAACAAATTCAACGACGCCGTCACGCCCGTCACCGCCACCGCCGCCGCCGCCTGAATTAAATTTAAATTCTCGAATTGTTTTCGAATCGTCGTTAAAAAATTTTTTTTTCTTCTTCTTCTTCTTTTTCTTCTGCTTTCTTATAATTTTTTCTAATTTTTTTTTCTTTCTATCATCGTCGTCGTCGTTGTCGTCATCGTCATCGTCGTCGTGGTTGTAGAAATTATTAAAATCGTCGGTTGTTTTTATCATTGTGACACGTTTATTCATCATCATTTTCACCTGGAAATCACGTACGACGTCTCATTTTTTTTTTATTTAAATTTTAATTTAAATTTAAATTTTTTTTTTTTAATTTAAAAAAAAAAAAATTAATCCTTCTTTAAAAAAAAAAATTTTTTTTAATTCCGTATTAAATATTTATCGAATCCTTTTAGTTTTATCATTATTATTATCACTGACAGTAGAGTTTTTTTTTTTCGGTCCTGGAATCGAATCCTTGTTACAATACCTTTTGACTAATCGTTTCAAAAAAAAAAAAATTTTAATTCCTTTTCAGGGTCGAAACCTTGAAATCGACGTGAATGAAACAAAAAATTCGTCGACCGTTAAAAAAAAAAATGGCGGAAACGAAAAATAAATTAATTCTCCCTTCCTTCCTTCATCTCTATCAATTCGAACGAAAATTTAAATTTTCCCGCCTTTTTCCCACGTTTTCCCGGTTTTTAATTCTTTTACATTCCGATAGAGTGTGTTCGCGAATCCCCTCTTCTCATTTTCAAATGAAAATCGTTATTGAAAATAAAATCTATTTCCGGTAAACGATAAAAAAAAATCACGGCTGTAATAATAATAATAATAGTCTAATTCCACGTTTAATAAAAACAAAGTTGTCAGACTTTGACGACTGTCTGTCTTTTAATTCGTGATAAAAATCTAATGAAATATAATTTCGGGAATTGAATTACATAAAATGTTTAATAAAAATCTAAAAGTTCAGGTACGTGGAAGAAGAAGAAGAAGGTAGTGAGACAATAATAATAATAATAATAATAATCTCAGAAGCTGTATAAAATAATGTAAATTAAAGGATTAATAAATAAATAATAATTTTTTTTTTTTTGATTGATTTTTTCGTTTTGTTTTGGTTGCAATAAAATGTTGTCGTTGTTCGACTAGACCCTTATTATTATTATTATTATTATTATTATTATTATTATTATTATTATTATTATTATTATTTTCAGGTACAGAAGTTAGTTAGTTAGTTAGTTTTACGTACGACAATATTTTTTTTTTTTTTTAAAGAATAAACAAAGCGTTAAATCCTTCGAGTGTTTAAGTGTGTTATACGTGACAAATGCTTACATTGTATTTAACTGATCGTTTGTCTTAAAACAAACAACAAACAAGATGACCTTTTCAAATCTCCCGAACTCAAAACACATATTTTTAAACCTACTTGAATAATTTAAAAACATTCCAAAAAAAAAAAAAAAAAAAAAAACGTTAAAAACGTCGTTTCGTCGTTAATGAATCTTAAAAACTTATTAAAAAAACAAAATTTTTTTTTTTTACAACGACGAGACCGATGTTTGATTACGTCATTCTTGTTCCCCTTCCTTCGAAACACACACACACACACACGCATCAGTGTTGCCAACATTTCAATCAAAAAAAAAAAAAAATCAAAAAAGAAAAAAAATATAAAAAATACAATTTGTTTTTTCATCTACGAACAAACTAAAAAAACGAAAAAATTTTTTAACACATTCGGTACCCCTACGACAGTGATACCAACATTTCAACTAAAAATCGAATTTAAAAAAAAAAAACAGTTTTTAACTCAACGCAAAAAAAATTTTTACAAAAATACCACACAAAAAAAATATTAAAATTCCAAGAACAAATTTTAAATTTTCTGAGCTTGAGCTTTACCCTACGACAGTGTTACCAACCGACAGTGTTACCAACACTTCAATGACAAAAATTAAATTTTAAATAAAAACAAAATAATTAAAAGAAAATTTTTTTTTTTTTTTTCGTATGAAATTTAAAAATGTACGTTCGACATTTACATCAGTCAGTCATCCCACGTCAGCGCTGCCAACATTTTAATAAAAAAAAAAATACCACGACCGTTATCGTTAATTTCATTACATCACCTTATTCGTATACACGCGAGTAAAATATTAATAATAATAATAACAACCCATTCGACTGAGACTCCCTTTAGTGTTTTAATATCATCCGACAAAATTTAAATTTTTTTTTATATGAGATTTTCAACGTAGGAGAAACAATAAAAATATTTCTCCTTCTCTCTCTCTCTCCCGCCTCCCTCTCTCTCTCACCCTTCCCTCTCTCTCTCTCCCTCGCTCTCTCTTTCTCTCCTTCTCTCTCGTTTAAATTTCATATAAAAAAAAAAAAATTTGCCATAAAAAAAAAAAAGTGAAAAAATTTATATTCTTGCAAATAATATATATATACATAAATCAAAACCGGTCATATTAATATATAATATATATATATATATATATTATATATTATACGCGCTCATTTCCCCTCCCCTTCCTACCTCCCTCTCTTCCCCTCTTCCTTTCCTTCCCTCTCCTTTCCTTAAATTTTTTCACATGGTTGTTATTATTATGTCTAACAACTTTTTTTTTTTTTTTTATTCGAAGGCTATTAAGTTTTAATAATAAATTTTATATTAATAATAATAATAATAATAATAATAATAATAATAATGATAATGGCGACGACGAGGACGACATATACATACATATTTAATGCGTGTATGCGTGCGCGTTTGCGTTTTGTTGTTTTTGTTGTTGTTAACTTGTATGTTGTTTGTACTATAAGCTTGAGGTTATAATTATTATAATAATAATAATGATGATGATGATGATGATGATGATGTTAGTGTTAAAATTGTATAGGGAGTTGTACACACAATAATTGTATTATTATTATCATCGTGTCGTACGATATTGATTGAGAATAGGGAACCGGAAATAATTACTATCGATTGTTGTTTATTTAAACTCTCGTAGTTAAATACCCGACATTTTCGTCTGCTACTACGTCATCGCTCCCTTCGAAATCATCTTCGTAAACATCACCGATAGTCGATCGATACGTATCGTTTTTTTCTTTACCGGATGTTCCTGCATCGTCATTCCCGTCGTCATCGTCATCGTCACGTTCGGATCCTGTCGTCGTCGTCGTCGTCGTTTTACCATCGCTACTTTCTTTTTTACAATCATTTATTTTAGTTCTTTTAGTTTCGTACGTCACGATTATTTTAATAGGTTCGTTTGATGATTTCGGTCGAACCGTTTCCGTACAAACCTTTTTTTCCATTTTGTTATTTTTCCCGAACGTTATCCCTTTCCCATATCTCGGAGATGGAGTTTTACTTTTCGGTAACAATTCCGGTAGGGAACCAATGGCAACAGTTTTTCTTATCGGTCCTTTTTTCGCATCAATTATCCTTTTCTTTTCCGATAATCCACCTTTTAACCTTAAAAAATAAATGACGTCATCGTCGTGTTAAATAATGATAATCTTCGTATAATTTACAAACGATTACGTACGTTCTTCTCTGGAATCCTGGAGTCGGTGACAAATCGTTGTTGTTGTTGATTCTTTCGAGTTTTGTTTCATCCAAACTTGAAAACATAACATCGTGTTTTTTATCGTCGATGACGTCATCATTTTCGTCATAGTAGTAATCCTGCGACGAAATCCTTCCATCATCCTTTTCACCTTTTTTCAAACAACCTTTTCTTATTTTTTCCCTTTCTTTTAACAATTTAATTTTTTTTTCATCTTGTCCGTATGAATTACGTCTTTCTTTCAAATCCGCTGACGGACATGAATTTTTTTTATAATGACGATACAACGCCATTTCTTTATCGTAGTGACGTATTTCCGATTGTAGTGATCTTTTCATTTCGTTCAAATGATGTATGTCCTGCAAATCAACGGTTGATTATTACGATGCATTATTATCATTATTATTATTTGTTTGTTTTCAATACCTTTGCCTGTTTGTCGAGTCCCCATTCTTTCGATCTTAAATCGCTCAAAAGGTTTGTTTTAGTTCTTTCCAATTGTTTCACGTACATAATCAATTCTGATTGCGACAGTGAATCTAAATTAATCATTCCCTGTTCTTCGATTTGTTTTATTTCCGTTTCTAATATTTTTTTTTCCTTTTCTAATTTTCTCACGTGTTCCATTAGGGATTCGTATTTAAACCAATTATCATTATTCGCGTGTATTTTCTTATCACCGACTGAAACGAACAAACAACAAACAAACAAACAAATTTTATGCGTTTGCATCACCATACTTTGACTCAAGTCAGTCACTTTCATACAAAAAAAAACTCGTTTCTTTTTTTGAGTGACAGGTCATCGTCATCGTCATCGTCGTAGCCATCATTGACAGTACCGAGTTAATTTAAATTTTCTATTAAAATCGTGTCGTCACGTGACATACCCCGCGTCGTCCATTTTTTAAAATAAATAATTAATTATTATTCGTTTTGAGCGGCCATTTTGTTTAGTACGATTTTTTTATTTTATCACGGAACAATTCAAAATGATAACGTGTGCGTGCACGTGCGTGAGTGCGTGTTTCCCGCAAATAATAATGATAATATTAGGAAGACGTTTAGTTTATAATAAATTAATAATGAACACGCGATTATTATTAATATTATCGAACGGAGCGAGTGGATGGGGGCGGGGCGGGGGGTATATCGTAATTGAGGAAACGATAAAAAACGGAAACGGATACAAATGTTCTAGAATATTCTTTTTCCCGGAGTAGATTTTAAAAGAGTTATAAACTTACCGACGTTTTGTGGAAATGAATTTTTTATCTGATTGATTTCTTTATCGAAATTCGTTAAAATTTCTTCGAGCTCTTTATTTTCAATACATAAAGTGTACCTGAAAATAAATAATAATAATAATGATAATCGTCGTGGCAGTAGGAGATGCAATAGAAGTAGTAGTAGTCATAATCATTAATAATAAAAATTTACTTTTTTATATATTTGCGAAATCGCGTACGGCGGTGGTCTTCGGATAATTTTTATATTATTTATTATAACAAACGACAACCGAAGACAACCGCAATTAATTTAATTCATTTTTTTTTTCAAAAAAAAAAAAAAAATTAAAACTCAAATTTATTATTATAATAAATTTTCACGTATAAAAAAAAAAAAAACAAACAATTTTTTTTTTTTTTTATCGACGAAGACCTCCCCGCCGATTCGACGATTAACGACTAGTTCGTTACCTGCCCTCCCGAAATTATTAATAATAATAATAATAATCATAATAATAATCATAATAATAATAATCATAATAATAATAAAATCTATAATAAATATTAATTAAAAATTAAAAAACGCATGCGAATAATAGTAATAATAATTCCGATATGACGACGTAAGATGAAAAATTTGTTTTTTATTTCTTATTTATTTATATATTATTAATAATAAATAAAATGTTAAGTGAACGATAATAATAATAGTAATAATAATAATAAAACGCGATTAAATTTATTAAAAAAGGAAAAAACGGTTGTCAAAAGTTAACGGAAGAAAGAAAGAAAGAAAGAGAGAGAAAAAAAATATGGCGAACGTTTAAAAAATAATAATAATTTTCTTTCTTTTAAATTAATAATAATAATAATAATAATAATGATAATGATAATAAAGACGGGATTTAATAATAATTAACAAAATGGAAATTTACTCGTTTATTTATTTATTTTATTACGAATAAAATATGTTAATAAACCAGCGCGCACGTTCGCGTTTATAATTGTTACGCCTTAAAAAAAACGCGTATGCAATTTTTACTACACGTAATAAACGAAAGAAGCATAGGTATATTTAATACTCACAGGTATTTCCTTTCGTGTTCTAATTCATCTTCTAAATTTTTAATTTGTTTATCTTTTTTATCACTCGGAGGTGGCGTGGATGGTATCGATGGATAATCCTTTAATTTTTTAACCATTTTTATTTTATCCTCTTGTTTCATATCGGTTAATAAAATAAAAGAATCTGAAATGAAAGAGTTTTGCGATGTTATTAAAAAATAAACAAATAAAAATCTCTCCCCCTCTCTCTCTCTCTCTCCCTCTCTATTTCGTTTTTGCGTAAGTAAGTTTGTCGAAGTTAATAAAAAGTGGTGGCAGTGGTGGTGGTGGTGGTTGTGGTGGTGGTGATGGTTACGATGGCAAATGGGACGAAAAAACGAAAGGGAAGAAGTAGGAAGAGAGAGAGAGAGAGAGAGAGAGGGAAGGGGGAAGGAGGGAATAGAAAAAAAAAAAAAAAATCAAAATTTTCAATATTTTTCTGTGATATACCCTGCCTGGTTCGTAAATCCGCAATATTTTGACGTCACATACAAAAAAAAGGCCTTTTTCTTTAAATTTCTCTCTCTCTCTCTCTCTCTATCTCTCTATCTATCTATCTCTCTCTTTCTAATTTTCGTAAAGTCATGCAAAAGTAATTTTAAAAAATATGAAAAAAAAAAAAAAAATTATTGTCAACTTTCTAAATAAAAAATTTAAACACGCTAACTTTATA